TCCATTATAGATTTGGTGTCGGGGGAGGTTTTCCTTTCCCAGGACCGAAAGGACAGCATTGTGCAGCTCATCCATGATATTCGCAAATTACCCTCTATCCCTGTAGTTCTTCTTTCCTGGCTCCTTGGGAAATTCATTTCTTGTATAGGGATCGTGCCTTGGGCCCACCTACACGCCAGGGAGCTTCAGTGGTTCTTGCTTCCATACCAGAGAGCCGGGACGAGCGACGCCAGCTTCAAGGTTCGAGTGTCATCCCAGGTGCTACTCTCGCTCCGTTGGTGGCTGACCCCTGCATTAGACAAAGGATCCCTCTTCAAGGAACCAGCAAGGAAGGTACTCACAACGGACGCAAGCCTGTTCGGCTGGGGAGCACACCTGGAGGCTCAGATTGCCCCAGGCCGCTGGACTCCAACAGACTTGCGCAACAACATAAACTGGTTGGAGCTCAGGGCCATCCATCTGGCTCTATGTCACTTCAAGACCACTGTGACCGGACACCATGTCCTGGTCCTGACGGACAATGTGGCAGCCAAGACCCACGTGAACAGACAAGGGGGCACCCATTCCAAGGCCCTTTGCGACGAGGCCCTCCAATTGGGGAACTGGGCAGAGAGGCATCTCCAGTCCATCAAAGCGGAACACATCTCCAGGACACAGAACCAGCAAGCAGATTGGCTCAGCAGGGAGACAGTCGACAACGGAGAGTGGCAGCTCCACTCCAGCGTCTTCCTGCAGATCTGCGAGAGGTTCGGGCGACCGATGGTGATCTCTTCACAACCCCAGCAAACGCCCAGCTGCCGAGCTTCATATCGAGGTTCCCGTCCAGAGGAGCCATGGACATGGACGCCCTTCGCTGCAGATGGCCACCAGGTCTACTCTATGCCTTTCCCCCCCTTCCCCTCATTCCCGGGGTTCTGAGGAGGGTGGTGTCAAAGAGAGCAGAGATGATCCTAGTGGCTCCCTTCTGGCCACGCCGCCCCTGGCTAGCAGACTTGGTGGAGCTGTCCTCAGCTCCTTACTGGAGGATCCCCCCAGGGGAGGTGTCTCTTCACCAGGGGTCCCTGGACCATCCAGATCCATCTGACCGCCTGGCGATTGAGTGAGAACAGCTGAGAGGGGCACAATTTTCCACGAAGGTCATTAAGACTGTCGAGGCGTCCAGGAGGCAGTTCACCACTCGCATCTACAACGCCTCCTGGGTCGCTTTCGCGGACTGGTGCCAAGCAAGGGACATCATCCCAGCTTTGGCCTCTGTACCCCAGGTCCTGGATTTTCTGCAAGGTCTAGAGAAAGGCCTAGCCCTCAGCACCCTTAGGAGACAAGTCTCTGCCCTCTCCAAGGTCTGGGTGTGTGTGTGTGTGTTGGATTCCCCCCCCCCTTTGTCCCAACTTCCGGTTCTAAGGTGCTTCCTTAAGGGAGCGGTGAATCAGAAACCCCCAGTGGTCCATCGATTCCCTACCTTGGACTTACCCACGGTCCTCCAGGCACTGACGGAGGCACCGTTCGAACCCTTGAGGGAGGTTTCCCTACAATTACTGACTATTAAAGTCGTCTTCCTGGTTGCCATCACCTCTGCCAGGAGAGTATCTGAGCTCAACGCTCTTTCCAGCAGACCAGACCTCTGCACCTTCCTGGAGAACCGGGTCATCCTCAGACTGGACTCTGCGTTCATGTCCAAGGTCAATTCTCCCTTCCACAGGGTTTTAGAGATAGTTCTGCCGGACTTCTGTCCGCAGCCCTCCAGGGATACGGAAAGATCATGACACCGATTGGATGTCAGAAGAGCCCTGCGCATCTATCTGAAGTGCACAGCGCCCTTTAGACATTCAGAGGTCCTCTTTGTGTCCTTTCAGTCGTCCACCCGGGGAGCCAAGGTTTCCCCNCTGCTCATTCACCTCCAGCAAAGTCTTTCGAGGGAGGATTTACAGTCACAGACCTTATCTGGCTTGGAGAGCTGCCAGGCTGATATCTGCAAAACCTGGCAAGGGGTCTCGGAGAGTCACGAACCAATTAAGCAAACTCATTGTCTCCTGCAAACTCCACTCCCCTTTCGCTCCTCTTTTATTCCCTCTGGGAGGGGCCATTCATCGTCCACTTGTGGCCTTAGTCCCAAGTCAGATCCTGTTCTTTATTTGTTTCCTTTGTCTGGCAACTCTGCGCATGTGCACACTGGGAACAGACGCCAGGTGTTCATCTGCCTCACTGATGTCTGACTCCAAAGGCAGCTGATAACTGGCATACAGCTCTGGCCCTCTCTCTGCCTCCGACAAATAGCCCTCATTAGAGCTTCCCCAGACTACAGGACTGGCCCAGGTTCCTCCCCAACCTCCTCACTCTCCGAATCTGCTGCCAGCTCCGCTGACCACTGGGGTGATCACAAGTCTCACCTTCCGCACATGCGTGCGGCATCAAACACATGGCAATTATATAAGATGCTATAGCACTGGGACGGGCCCAACCGCTGGTTGGAATTACCAGTTCACCACTGGGAGTGGTGCTCATCGCCGTTTGAAGGCCACTGAACCAGCGCTGAAAATTTCTCTCTAGTTTTGAGTTGGATTCCTCTTTAATTGTTTTTCCACCAGTTGCTTCTTCTCCTGCCTTCAGGGGGGAAAACAAAAACCTACCCGAGTTTTGCGGAAGTGAAGTTCAAAGTCAATCTCCTCGTCAAAATTGATCTCAAAGACTTTCTTAACTGTTCTCCTTTTACTGACTCTCTCAGACTTGGCATCACCTGTGCAGAGGATAGAAGACAGGATGGAAGGAAGCAGCTTGCTCTGCCATAGAATGTTAAATCTTCCTCTTTCTTTTAGTGTTGCTGCATGTAGCCTTGAACAGAATTGTTCTATAAAAGTGAACTTTAAAGCAGCAGTCACCAACTGGTGGTCTGTGAAAAAATATTTGCATTTTTTATATTGCACTAAATCAGGGGTCCTCAAACTATGGCCACTGGGATGGATACGTGCCATGAACATTTGTGTTGCTGCAGAGAGTCCCCCCCTTTGGGGTCTTTTTGTGCAGGTCGGAGGGGGGCAGAAATTCTGACTTGGGGTCTGCTTTGGCCTCCTGGTGTGGGGATTTGGGCAAAGGCTGGAGGGAAGTGCCGCTGGTGGAGAAGAGCCGGAGGGCCTCGTTCAGTAGGACTGCATCATTGCCTGGAAATGGCTGACCATCTCAGCATACTGAGCCTCCAGGCACCTCTACTTGGCCTTGCACTCCCACAGGTTTCCCCTCTGATTGGAAAGCCTATGCTCGTAGTCCTCAGTGAGGTGCTTCTGCTGAGCCTCCTTCTTGGTCAGATCCAATTTGAACTGAGCTGTTTCCCCAACTCTTTCTCATAGTGGCTGCTTAGCTCCAGCAACTGTTTCCTGTTGGGGCCCTAAGGAGATCGGGTGGGCGAGGAGTGGCTGGGAGGGGAGGGGCGAGTAGGGGCCAGCGAGGTGCCCCTCAACCTGAGTGACATAAGTTGGCCACGCCCACCCAATCACATGACCACCTAGCCATGCCCACACAGCCAATCATTAGGCAGATCATATTAGTGGTCCTCGGGATTTAAAATTATGAATTTCGTGGTCCCTGGGGTCCGAAAGTCTGGGGTAAGTATCTTTCAACAGGCAGCACAAAATGGCGCTTTCGAAATAATTGAACATCAGGTGTAGCTCTACTCTGACCCACCAATCCTGGTTGTGATGTGAGAAAATAAGCAATGATGGTGGAAGTATTACAATAAACATTGGAAAAGCGACTGCTACATATTTATCTATATCAGTGATGGCGAACCTTTTTGGCACCGAGTGCCGAAAAGGCAGCACATGCCCTCGTTGGGGCCACGAGCAGGAAGAGAAGCTGCCCAGGGGGCATGTGCGTGCTGGAAAATGAACTTCTACACCAAGGTCAGCAGATTGTCACGTGCGCATGCACACCGGAAAGCTGGAAGGGGATCAGGCGACGCACATGCCAGGCAATATGGCTCCGCGTGGCACTTTGGGCACGCGTGCCATAGGTTTGCCATCATGGATCTGTATACTATTAACTAAAAATGGGATATACCGTGATGCCATTTCTATTATAGAGTAAGAGATCAACATAGATTGTACTGTGTACTACAGACTATACTTCTGTAAACTTCAGAGAGCATGATTTCGAATAGGGGAATGTCCATATGTCAACCCACACACACTCATATGCAGCCCTGATGAAGCAGGAGGAGAAGAAAACACTGAAAGAAGTCAGGTAGACTCACAACAGAGGAAGGGAAACAGTAACAGATAAAAGATTGTGATTCTTCATAAATGTGCGAGATGTCACAATTAACTTCGACTGAACTCTTGGCAATCCCTGCCCAGCCTCTGCCCACTGTTACCTTTATGGTGCGGTTTAAAACGCCAGTGTTCTGGGCCTGCCCACATGGACATAATTCGGGGGCTGAAGTAAGAATACTCGCTGGGGTTCATAGACAGCTGTAGACACATGGACCCAATATCCCCTTCTTTTGTTGAAACCTGGTTTTCTCTATAAGAAAGAGATTTAACACTAGTTTTAAAACTTTAACTGTTGTTTCTTCAAGATTTGCTGTGCAGGTAAGTCCTGGATTTACAACGGTTTGTTTTGCGAATGTTTTGAAGTTACAACAGCACTGAAAAAGGTCACTTACAACTGTCTTTCATAATTAACGACTGTTATTAACTTAAAAATTGTGGTGATATCTATTGTTCCTACAATCCAATAATTGTGAATTGGATTAAAATGGAAAAATGGATTAAGAATCGAAGCATTAAAGAGGATATGTATAATAAAATGAGGATTATATAAACTTGATAAATGTGATAGAGATTACTACCAATGTTAGCGTAAACTGGATCAATATAAATGGAAACTTAGTTACATTTGTTCATATATAATAGAGAAACGTTTAGCTAGAACAAGAAAGTTATAGATGAAGGTGGAGATAAAGATGAGGAGTAAGGCATTTTTTGAATATATATGTTTGAACGATATACCGTATTTTTCAGAGTATAAGAAGCACCTTTTTCCGTCAAAAAAGAGGGTGAAAATCTGGGTGCGTCTTATATACTGAATACAACATTTTTGGCCTACTGAAACCTTTGCAAAAATGGGTATGCAGACGGTTTGGGAGGCTTCCAGAGTGCTCCCGAGGGCTGGGGAGGGCAAAAAGGAGCAAAAAATGGGTCATTTTTTCTCATTTTTGCCCCCCAGCCCCTAGGAACATTCTAAGAGCCTCCCAAAGCTCTGCACCCCCCCCCTGCTTTTTTTGCAAAAATGAGGAGTGCAGAGGGTTTGGGAGGCCAGCAGAGTGCAAAACTTATTTTTTTTTAAATTACATCTTCAAAATTATGGTGCGTCAGATACTCCAAAAAATACAGTAATAAGGATTACTTATGCTTGAGAAATGTGACAGAGATTATTAATATTGTTATTGTGAATTGGATTAATATGAATGATACCCAGAACCAACTCTGTTCACACACAATATAAATATATAACTTTTTAAAAAATAATAAAAAATATATTTAAAAAAAATACAATTGCGGTGATTCACTTAACAACCGTGGCAAGAAAGGTTGTATAAAAGGGGCAAGACTCATTTAACAAATGTCTCTCTTAGCAAGAGAAATTTTGGGCTGTTACGGTCATAAGTCAAAGACCCCCTGAATAAGATGCATGTTTTTACTAATATTGTTCCTGATTCATTTTTCAGTGAAGGTAACAATTAAATTCTCATTAAAAACTTCTCAAAAGCACCAACTCTATCCCCAAATATTCCAAGAAGTACATATATACCTTGAAAGTTCTGGTGCTATTCGGCAGGATTCCAGCTTTTCGGAGAATTCACCAAGATCTCTGGCCATCGTCTTGTCTAGAACATCGGCATCAAAATCATCTTCCATCCTATCCTCAAGATACTCGTTATCCGTCTCTGCGTTGATATCAAATGCCTGGTCACTCTTCTTGAATTTATCTAGCAGAGCAGAGACTGACTGAACACAAAACAACATTTTAAGTCTTTTCTTCTTCTTCTTCTTTTTTTTTTTAAATTAATGTTTTTATTTTCCATTTTTCATTTTCATACAGTCACATATATA